TACACAGAGCATTTTTGTGACAGCTTTCGATGAATGTGAGTGGAATCATTAACACCATTGAAACGAATGAATTTTCAGTTCATTTCTCTTCCGTTCATTTCAACCCTTAACCCTGCACTTTCATGCGCCTATTTTGGTTGCTACCTGTTTGCGACTCGTTTGAATCAAAACGCAAGATGAAGATTGGAATGATGGAATCAAACTCCATAGGAAGAGAGAATTCATTCAGACTGGGGTTGTAAGAATAATGAGTAGATTCAGGAGCTCCACCGTTTGCGACACCGAGCCATTTCCCTCAGTGCCTCTAACCACCGATTACCATGCTCTTGGGGTCTTCATCTAGGGCGCCGAACGGTATTAATGTGACACAATCTCCTGGACAGGGTTGTCATACCTCCATGTAAGGTCTTAGTTTGACCGCTTTGGCCTTTTCCACATACAGGAATAGCATCTTTTTTCAAACTGAAACGGAATTATCGATGGCATGTAATCGGTCATTCGTTCTACAAGCATGTTTTCATTTTCTTTGCTCATCCTATATATTTCAGCTCTATTGCAGATGACATCACAAACATTGAAAACATGTTTTTACGACGTTTCTATGGAGTACAGACCCAAAAGACATGATGACCAAGTACTTCCATGATAATGAGAATTTTGGTCTGGAGAGCCATTACTCGAGCTATTTATTTGCGATCCAATTTTAACCGTAATGAATTCTAACATAAAGATTGGAATGAAGCGTACTACACCGAAGTTGGCTCATTAGTTGAGAAAATAGTATCAACATACAACAGGTTACGCATTGCTACACCGTTTACCAAGCTAACGACCAAATATTAAGCCAAGTTTTTCATAAGTTTAAATAAGATAGCGTTGTCAGATACAGACCAACACAAACATCTTATGAAAGTTTGGTCAAATCGGGCCAATGTGGCCATCGCTCTGCTGCGCTGAATGAACGACATTACACATGAAGTGTGCGTGTGGGGGGTGGGGGGCGTTTGGCGAGATTCAACGATAAGTTGAGGATTTTTTACGGTGTTTAATTTTTGAGAGAGGTTTGTGTTTTGTAATGTTAAACACCAACCACATCTTCTGGATGTGTTGAATCTAAACGTGTGTGCTTGCTTTATCCGCAATTCCTGTGGATTGTTGAACCAAGAATAGGAACCATTACCAGAGGGAAACAGAACCACATTTCAAAATCCATTGATAAGAATAGATTGCATTAACAAAAGCATCATTGTCGGCTGGTAAGGGGCTTCATTTTGTCCTCAAGATCTCTCGTTCCCGACTGAAGTGCTATGAATACTTCTTTTGTTGACTTTAAATCTATTTGTAAGGAGGTTAAGATTTAGCATTCTCAATTTCTTTCGACAAGGCGAATTTTAGCGCAACAGAAGATAGGTATCTTGTTTACAATCAAGCATGTTGCAGAGAACGGCTGGATATGCTGCGGCATACACGGAGAGAACAAATATAAATTTGCACTTCATCCGTGTGTATGAACTACGAGTAAGACCTCACATTCCGAAAAAAGGCCTGTGCATCTCTATGAATCAACCACGCTGTCCATCATTCGAGCAACTTTACATTTGGTGTGCAGATGCTTTCTTTCAGTCCGTTCCAAATCCAAACGAAGCTCAACTTATTTCACCCTTTTTCGCGTTATGCGCAGACAAATGGATATACACAGACGCATTTACTCAGTAGTTGAGCTGGGAATCAGGCTTGCTCGATTCCGTAACCAATCCGACTAATAAACCTTCGGATAATTATTTTACCTGGGTTGCCTCCAATCTTCAATTGTTCGGTTACACCCAGTCAGATGGGCTGTGTAGATTAGGAAAGCTTGAAACATGTCACGTGAATTGTATGCTGTCCACCGGCGCTTTTTCAAATGTGCGACATGGGGAAGATTGTCTGCACACTGGTTATCATGATAACCAATAGAAGCCCTTAAGAACATCGTTTGTTATGAGTTAAAGCCCTGATAGATGGGTGAAATTAGTAAGTTTAAACTGTAGTTCGAACAGAATTTTGATACAAAAATTTGGCATATTATGGAGACTTTTATTTGCAAATAACCAAATTAAAATACTTCGCTTATTTGTTAACTTAATGGACTTGCTGCAGTCAGTGTCTTTGTCCATTTGGCGCCAAGATTGTCGCACTGTTTGTTAGTCTGGGCCCATTGATCCATTGGCAGCTTAAACATGAGACAACTGGATGTTCGAATGAGTGCTAGAGTTAGCACACATTCGCAGAATCAGATCAGCATCGAAACGCTTCACATCTTCAGGCATCATGTAGTTGAAAATGTCCTGTCCTCGGTGGACTGAAGGGCCTGGAACAAACTACTGTTAAAACTATCCTGAGAAGTTATGGCGCATTCAAAATCTTACTGATCGGATTACAACGTTTTTCAAAGGGTTTTTTTTAATCACACTGGTTAATGAGTCGTAAATTTACTGGTTACTTTTTTACCGGAAGAATTCGTATTCAAAGAAGTATTCGTTGGTTTTATTTTGATCAAGACATATCCCATATAACTTTAGAGAAGAGATCAGTTTAATCTTTTCATAAAGCATAAGACGATGATCTTGTAAATTTGATGTACACTTTTATTTCACAAATGTGAATTCGCCTAGTTCTGCAGGATAATTTTTCAGACACTAGACCTCCGATGTTGATTGCCATCTGTATTAGCTTCTATGGGAAACCGATAAAAAGAGGAGATCATCCTAGAAGTGTCTTTTTACTCTAGGTTATGGGAATAACGAGGAACACGAACGTAATTTGCTCCGTGTCTCCATCCACATCCGAACTCGATTCAAGGAAACCAACGCAATCATGCCAATGAACTCCGATTTTCACTGATTTCTTATATTCGTGCTGGTCAAGGAATGGTCACCTGACTGCTTCTTCAGTTATTACCTACTGAATAATTGTCTTCGGCAAGTATGCACAAAAATATGCCTTAAATCATTCACTCTGTAATTATAAAATATCATTGACGAACTTAGCCTGCCTAGAATCGTAGGTCTCAATACAGTTTTATTTATTTAGTTTTCCTTTAGAGTTTCGGATGCAAAAATGTTATGGATACAGCTTAGGTTTTAAGTTCCTACACAACAGAATAGAGTTTAGAGCGTCAGGATGATGTCAAAATAACATTTAGCTTCTAAAGTGACAAATTTATCCAGAAAATATTGAGACTCAGGAATGCGGTTGCCTTGACAGATTTTCCCCCAGTTTCTGCTCAGGACTTATCTACTTTCTATCTCTATCTAACTGACTATTGCAACTCCTGTTTGGATAGTTTCTGTCCATGAGCAACATTACATTCGATGCGATTATTTTTTCTCTTTCGTTATAAAACCATTACATCGAAAAAAGGAACGTGCGTTTAAATCTAAGGACTATAATTTAATGAGGAACCTATCAAAACCATTTAATTTTGAAAGTTATCGTCTAAATTACGTTTACGCACACCAAATTCTTTCAGTCGGAATTCCTTGTGACTGCTCAAACAGCTCTACGGTTCTTCTATCAGAGGACACGCTCTGACAATGAGGATATGAACCATGGACTCATTAGACTAGCAAGCTTCCGGTTTACTTGAAGTCTTGATTGCCCCCGATTACCTCACACTATTCCTTGGGTGAATGATCCAAGAGAAACGTGTGAGCAGCGAACCAGATGGATTACAACCAATTCTGTTAAAAGTAGGCGCCAAGGCTCTGTTACGTGTCTAGTCCAAAACTGCAGTATTTCCCAATGATCAATGCGGATTGCTAGAGAACAGCCAGTGTTACACCAATTCATAGGAAAGGTTTCACAAACTTTCATCCTATGGCCAGCAATTCGAATGCCCTGGTCTTGGAGAAAATAACTTTAAGCAAGCTGCCTCCCATTTGAACATAACTGAGGTGAATGATTTTACTTATAATTGTGCACGATCTATCTTTGATGCCCCTGCTTCCTTAATGCATTTTATTCAGTCACTGCTTGCTACTAGATGTAAAGCTCTTCAGGATTTAGTGACGCATTCTGACTTATTGACAGAGTTCACCTTCTGTCTTTTCTTGGCAATCTGTGGATGTCCTAAGCAGTTACCTTGCCCTTCGTAAACAGTTTACACTCTACTTCACTTCCGAATTAGTGGTTAGCCCTTTGGGCTCCTACTTCTTTTCCATTTAGCTTCTAGGGTTTTTGCAATGAATTCCTGAGGAAGCAATACTCTGATTGCGTTATCTTTGGCTTACTCCTTCCCAACAGTTCTGTTCTCCCCATCAGCCGATCTCATACAGATATGCTCAATGGAAAAGATGAATATTAGGTTCACTTCCGAGCCAATAAGTATTTTTGAAGTTAGAAGACAAAACATCTAACTGTGCTCGTTCATTCGATGTGTCATCATTAATTCGTTTCTGCAGGACAACTTATCTGGGCCACGCGATCAGGTGATTATCCGCACCGATCCTTGCAAATCACTTTGCATGCCTAAAACCCGGAACGATCATGTTAGTCACTAAAATAGTTCTTTAAAATGGGCCAAAATCAACCATCCTACGAATATACCTGGGGCGTTTTGCACCTTAAATAGAATTTAAGGTGAATCCTCGGGAAGTTTACATGCCAAACGCTAATCATCGTGGGAGCGGAACGATTCTATCTCTTTATGAATCCCAAAATATTATGCACTGTCTAATCTTCCAAGGTTCGTCCAACGAAACTCGCATCCTGATAAATTTCGACGATTGAATGAACGAACAACTTCATGATCGTTTCTACTTTCATGTTCGGTCTAAAGATAAAACTCACTAGCGGAAATCTGTTACGCATATTCACCTATTTCATAAAGCGATCATTAGTAAAAATTATAATAAGTTGAGATCATTTCAAATACCCCAGTCTTCAAGTTCAGTTTTTTCTGTCTTTACTAATATGAACGAGATGATTATTCCGATTTCCGATTTCATTCAGGTGAACACGGTGCTGGATATATTGTGGACCGCGAAATCCTTTCGGACGAGGAGAAAAAAGAATTCGATGAGGGATGGGAAAACAATGCATTCAATCAGTTTGTCAGTGATCGAATAAGTGTACGCCGGCATTTACCGGACTACAGAGAAGGAACGTGAGTTGTTATTGCGACGATAATTTTCTCTTTCAATAAGTGGTGGATTAATCGTCATTTCCTTCAATGTTTTTAACCAGTTAGTTGCAGAGTCTTTTGGACCTCGACCTGGAAGACGGGAGACACCGATTCTACCTAGTCACTGTATGAATTTCGTCAAACCTCGTTTTCACATCTGTTGACCTCCGCGCGGTGAGGCCGCAACTGCGAATAAGGCGTGGTACTATAGACGATGGCTGGGCATGCGCAATACGCGTCCTCATCAGCGAAGCCGACTAATCTGAATTTGATGGGAAAATAAATTCTCCATCGAATAGAGCAAATGTTGGCACTATGCAACAGTTTCACCCCTGTTGGACATGATCAGTCAAACGAATCAATTGATCCAACTGAAGATTGAGCTTAGGACCTAACAGGAGGAACTTCATTCATGTTGGGGAATCTAATTAGTTTAGCACAATAGTCACGAGAAACTGAGTTTGCTCATTCTAGCTTTAATCTCGTGGGTTGCATTTCGGTTGGGAATGTTCCGTAACCAACTACTCACTGACTTGATAAGTTTTTGTTTAATAAAGAGTAAAAACACAGGAACTATAAAGAATTCAAATTTTTATTCTAAATTTTATCATATTTCTTTTATTGGATACAAATTTGAATAAAATTGGATACGATTTTCAGGAAGGAACAACAGTGAATGAAAAGCCTCGTAACGGCATCCGAAAAATACGGAATGGCAGGTGTCGGGGATAGAATTCGAGCTCAACCTACGGGGAATAATTTGGTAATCTTTACCGCTTGATCATCACCACCTAAGCATTGTAAAACTGATCCAACTTTATGGGTTCCAGCACTGGATACCTGATCAGTTTAATCAGAAAGGTTGAAAAAGTTATGCGAAGTCTCCCGTCTTTTCACTTGAAATGAACTTTGAAACGCGTTTACAGAATTTCGTTCTGGGTTGAAATAAAACAATCTGTTGGTATAGTCCAAGTAGCAAGCAGTAAAGGGTGTTTACGACATCTTGGTAAACTCCGGAGTGGCGTTATTCACTTAAAATAGGCTGTAAATAATGGACTGTTTGACATTGTGTACAAAATTTAAAGCATTCCGATCGGTATTCCAATTTTTCTTACAATAAATTCACGAGCATTTCTGATTGATGTTTGGCAAAATTCATTACTGTATTTATAAAAGTGTGGTGTAATGATGTAGTTTTTGTATCAATGAATTTGAACACAGATGAAGCAGAGGTACAGAGAATGTTTCCCATGTTTGAGGGGCAAGTGACACATTAGATCTGTAAGATAAGTCCACTTTCCAAATGAAAAGAAACTACCCCGAACTGTTCTATCTAAAAGAAATCACTCTCAATAGGTACATATTTCCTGCCTGGTCAAAGTTGGACCTTGCTGATGAATCCTGCATCCCAAAGTCGATTACTGTTAAGATCTAGTACTTCAAACGACTTTGACTAGGGGGCTCTTTGTTACGTGGTGTTGACGTGCAGACGGATGTTGAGAGATAGCCTGAATAGCTCAAGTGGTTATTGCGCTTGAAACACTTTCATAAACAAATTACAGCATGGCCAATTTTCATTCGTAAGAATATGTTTTATCTGAGCCACAGACTGAAATGTTCACCAACGTGTCATCCCCATTGATGCCTTTTACGTTTTAATAACTTTTATCGATTCTTTTGAGACTTGTAAATTTTAGAATTTTCGCCAACTAAAATACTTCAACCCAGACTAAAAGTAACAATTCATAAACTTTGCTGATCTTGATTGGCTATCCCTCAGATTACATTTTCGTGGACAATCCTTAGTTTATTCAATCAACCCTACTGGTCATATTAGTTTTACTTTCTCTCTCTCTCTCTCTGGATCATATTCACCATTTCATTTGGGATTTTAAATACGAATACTTGACGTGTGTTTGGTGACAGTGATTACACAAACGCCTTTAGTGTGAGGTATTCGGAGTTCAAATCCAGGTACGAAGATGGATATAGACTATTCCTGAGCTCTTGTGGGAGCAAAACTTAAGTCTGATAGTTATTAAAATAATGAATGAATAGACGAACCAAGAATTCTGCTTCAAGACGAAGTCTAAATAGCACTTAACCCGTGATACTACTGTAGAGTAACTGTGAATTCCATATAAAGCAATTATTATTTGAAAAGTAGAAGATGCAGCTGATATCTGCAAAACTATTTTACCGGGTTCTCTGTCGATTTTTTATCACCCGTCCAATGCATATGAAGATGCTTGACCAACGAGTATGCAAAAGACTTGCCGGCAACCTCAGTGGTCATTTGTTTCTTCAACGAGTGCTGGTCCACACTAATTCGTTCGGTGCATTCCGTACTGGACAATTCACCACCCCATCTGCTGAAAGAAATTATCCTGGTTGATGACTTCTCCAATCGAGGTACGTTTTGGATATTTCCAGTCAGTAGATGACACAGAAAAACTGAACGCAATTACAGCAATCTGTTTGAACTTTTCGCTTTCTTTATTATTGCATACAAAACTGAATAAGCGAATTTTGGTAAACAGAAGCAGTAAATAAAATGTCTGCCAAAGCGTTGTGAGGGTGATTAGCAGCAATTAATTACTGCCGTTACAAGCTAATAAACTGTCATTTCTATAAGCTGGTCCTTTATTGGCCAGTCAGATACCACTACCATGATCCCTTGATATGTGTAACCGCCTAATGCGACAGATCAAAAAATATATTTTCAAACATCATTTTCTACAAGTAGAAACTTTCTATTAGATGGGAATACGTTTTGTACTGAAAGGTTTCCCACAGTTGTCATCAAATTCGGCTTTTCTATCGAAAATTATTATTTCCCAAACAAACACCGAGAGAACGGCAATTCTTTGAGCAGGTACTGGAAGAGTTTCATACTTTCAGAAGAATCTAACGCGTATTTCTTTCAACTCAGTCAAACTCTATTGGTTAATGTTATCGGTTGCCAGTATTGTACCAATTCTTCCCAAATTCACTGTGTGAATGGCAAAATTGTACATCCGGTGGTTATTACTCAAAATTAGACGCTTTGTATCCAGTCCACAAAGTGGTTGTCATTAAGATTGTGCGAAACGATTGAGAGTTAGATGTTTGTGACAGTCGCAAACTACGAGCCATGGTCCATTTTCGCATTGTTTTTGAATTACCGACCTAGACCAGTCTGTGTGCATAACTTCGCCTAACACGTTCTCTTCAAAAATAAAAACGTTTTGATGTATGACACGTGGACATCTGTTCAACGAGAAGAGGAAGTCACTTCTTTCTCTCATCGATCGAGTCCAAATAAGTCAAAGCAAATTTTACTCCTCCAAAGTGTATATTTTCAGCAAGACATGCAATAAAAGCTAAGAGGATTGTCACTATAATGCTGGGAATATTCGAAGGTTCGAGATTTTCCTTAGGATAGGTGATGTTCGTTGGACCATTAAATAATAGAAAAGCAACGTACGAAATGATGCAGTTTCAGTAGGAAGATGAAAGTACAGAAGGGAGTCAACATTGGGAGCAAGTGATGTACACATTTCTCTCTCCATTACAACGTAACGGTAGCTGTTTTGAGATCAAAGGAAGTAAGTGGGGGTCAATCACAAAGGCGGCCGTTGTGGTAGTGGGAACTGTTCATACTAGGGAATGGACAATCAATCAATACATCATCAATAGACTTGTATGCGGTGAATTTTCCCTGAGTGGCAAATTTTGTTCTGTAAGATAAAGCTAATAGAAAAACAAGGAGTGGCGAAATGTGCTCTGTGGGACTGTTTAGACAATTACTAGAAAAAACAATAATTCCCTTAAAACCACCAAGAAATATGTTTGAGAAATCGTACACTTTATCGAAAAATGAGTCAAACGAATTCCTATGGAAGAGATATTAAATTAGGTATTCTAAAGATTGGATAAACAACGTCCAGTCCAAATAGACTGAATATGAAGATAAACTGAGGGGAACATGGTAGTTTCGTTGGGGTTCACTCGATGCAGCAACACCTTTTCAAAAGCTTTCGGTAACAAATAGATACAAATAACGAGATGGCATTTTTCCAAACCTTTCGTGGGGACTGGTCTCATCCGGAGTGACACCGTTTTGCACAAGCTTTCAAACGTGTGAGTCTTACCTATTTTATCCTATTAAAAACAAACCTTGTTTCCTGAAAATATCTAATTCACTCATCAAAGTTTGCCAACGTATGTTAGGAGTTCGGGACAAAACTTATGTGATCTGCATCCGACAGAAGAGGTCTGGAAAGAGTTTGGCTCTTGCTTTCCCAAATCAGTTAAATGTTATTCATGTGACAATGGAAAGAATTGTTTGCCATGATAACGTTTATTAAATCAATCGATAGCTGAAAAATAAAGAATGGTATCGGTTTATTCGCCACTTCTGATCAGACCATTACAGTAAACAGCCAAAGAAGTAAATATACCATAGCGTAATAATCCCTGGTGAAAGTGGTTGTACAATCATTGTGATGGTTGATGTTGGAGACTGTGTCAAACTGGTGTCTGTTTCGCAGTCCCAGATCTTAGGCAAAGGCAGATGTGAGGTCTTAACCAACTGTTTCGGGGAACACAGCATAGGTCGGTTCAGCCTGATCCTGACTGGGGACTGTAATGGCCAGATCATAAGTGCCAAAAACGGATCTATTTTTTCCATTTTCAAACTTCTCTGACAGGACAGTGAATAAATTTTCTGGTTAGAATGCGTATATTCTCCAAAAGGTATGAAGAGATTTTCGCTCTGTAGTTCAGTGTCAGAATTTGATCCGGCGTGAAGCAGTTGACGACAGCTTGGCGGTGTATGCAATGCAGGACGCGTTAGACTTCTCCACAAGGAACTTAACGATCAGTCTAGACAGAAGTCAGGAAAACTGAATGATATCATTCTATGGCCCTAGTGCATTTGTGCACATGAGATCTAAGTAAACCCATATAAGGTGAAGCAACGCATGACGCAAAAAATACAATAAAAAAAATTTGAAATTCATGGACAAGTCTAACAACAACAACAACAATTCAAGTGATCAGTGTAACAATCTCTCTCTCTGGTTATCACTAAATTTGTCTTCCAAAATCACTGGAGCATTTACGCTATTGCCGATGTGTCAATCACCAAAAGTTCGACAATCTCGGTGGAATTTAAACCCACTCTCTTATGTGGTCGATCCAAAAGTCTCGGTAAGTGGGAAGGGCTATAAAATGTAAAAGCATCCGAAAGTTATACGTGGCTTTGTAGCTCAGCTGGTATTGGCGAGTTCCACTATCAGATCCTAATCCCTAAATAGTTGAGTTACTTGAAAATTTTCAGTAAAAGTGTTCATTACCAAAAGAATATTATTTGAGGGACAATGGGATAAAGGGATAATTTTCTGAATGTATATCTGCTTACTCTAGGATTTGCCAAAAAGACAATTAGGCATAAATAGCCATAAGATCATAATTCTTATGAACAAAAGCTGTTCTTTCGAGAGTGCAGAAAAATATCACTTTATATAATCTAACCTCCTCAGAATGATTTCAGAAACTCAATTCCGACCAAAGTAAGTCAACATGAATCCCGGGAGAAGAGTTCAAGCACCGTTTGATCTGGAGAATCCTCGTCTGATTTTCTACTACGTCTATACTCTGTTGATGGCTTAAAAAGACCATATTTTGGTTGGTTTTATGTGCAGTATCTGAATGGCTGGAAAGGGTTTCCTGGTACTGTGTTTTCATGAAGCAGTGCCAGTTTGATTTTGCTGGATTGCTTACTAAGCCCCCAATCCGTCTTTGGCAGATCAACATATCTATGGTTAAAAATTAACTATTTTTAATGTTTTTATTAACGATCAACTTCATTCAGACTCATTGTATCACTTATTTTGAAATTTTTTGATATGATAATAATATAACGATGAAGTGTTTTTTGTAACTTCGTATTCGGGTGTAAATGTGTGTGATAACTGACAAAGATCATAGGACAGCTGTTTCCTCCTGTTTGAGACACGTCAGCAGTGCGTACTTTTTCTGTCCCTGTCAGAAGTCGAATCGTGAACCTTCTGATGGGGCGTTTATAACTGTTTTCAAATATGAAAGATAAACGTATGTGATTAGTTCATTAGTTTAAACGGTTTGTCAAATTTATAGGAACACATGGATCAGGAGGGGACCCACATCACTGCAGAAATTTCCCAATGACCTTTTTCACATGTGATGTGTCACACCATGTTGCGGCATCTTGGACTGTTTGAGGCTATGATTTGGTTCTTTATGTAGGTTGGGACGGGGGAAAAGCAACTGGAATGTGGTAGTCACTTTTTTGTTTGCAAGGTGGTAGGTTTAAGCTTTTCATTGCTACGGTTTGTATAGTGCACCAACCAAACGTGTTGTGCGAGATTACGAAACTTAGGATCAGTATATTCCTCAATAAAGCTCATCGCTTTGGTTTACTCTGATAATAATGATAATAATGGTATCGTTAGCAGTAATGCTTTTACGTCCTAAACTGATACATAACTGCACAGTTAAGTTTACGGAAAGGAGTTTTGATCAGTCAAAGGGTACACGGGGAAATACCGAAGCGGGGAAGAGGAAAGGTTGTCTTGATATTGAAACAACCGACCTCTAAGCAGTTGTTATGATGATGTCAACCACTGTGAACATAACTAAATGTAAAACCATAAATGTAAACTATAAACTAAATCATATTAGAAGTTTGCCTTGTATTATTCTTCACTATCATAAGAATGACAAATACAGTTAATTTTATTTGCCCTCACTACGAACACTGGAATTAGTGTTTTGCTTAGTGTACCTTAGAACTGGTTGCCGACTCCCTCCACTCTAGTCTCAGCCTCTAATCTCTGATATTAGAGTTACTTGCATTACTAACCATCTTTGCGGCTGACCCAATCTGTGCAAACAACTGAAGCAGCATTGCTTTACACGCGTTTGCTAAAGCGTCTGGACTATTGATTCCGCATGAATTAAGCTCCATTCCGGAGTAAAACTCAG